AACAAAAGCGTTGTTATATCCAGCCTAACACCGCAGTGAAATGTGTTGTTTTACAGGGGCAGCCATAGTAGTATGGCACCCCTGGAGCAAATTAGGATTAAGTGCCTTGCTCAAGGGAAAACACTGAGTGAGAAACTCAAAAGGACACAAATTAATCAAATAAATGAGAGAGGGAGGGAGAGAGTGTGGGGATGAAAAAGAGGAAATAAAAACAGAAAAAAATACACCAACTCACATGAAAATCCCAAATCACTGTTGGCTTTAGGCTCAGTAGACAGCTGATATAATGAACCTTGAGTGGGAGAGAAGGGGAGGGAGGACACAATGAAATCAACGTCAAACAAAAAATGGAACAAAACAAAATAGCAAATAATAATAAGAAAATCTAAATAGGCGCCTATCACTGAACATATTCTTTTATGAAGTTAGGTTAGGCCTTCTTTTAAAACCTAGCTTAATACAAACATGAATGGCACTGTGATACAAACCTGACACTGCAGTGGCAGCGGTAGCACAGTCAGTGCTCTGCTTTGTACAGGCACACACAGTACAACAGGATCTTTGACTTTAATGGAAGTGTGATGTACAATTGATAGAGTACAGCATGGCCATTTAGAAAGCTCCTGTGGCCTCTGCTGCACAGACACCCTTAATGGGACATTACACTTTCAAATCAACATTTTTCCAATGTTTTCAGACCTCTAAAGTAGTCTAATGTCAAGATGAATCTACGTCCCATGACATTGGTCATGCAGCTATATGTATCCAGCTATAAGCCGCCAGGCTCCACCCCAAATATATGGAAAAGACACGCACCGAATAAAACCAGGAAAACCAGGATAGACAGTGTTTATCGTTTCCATTCATTTGAGATTGAGGTGTAAAGCTGGATCTACACAATCAATGTCACAATACATGGTTTCATCTTAACATTAAACATTGGACATTGGACAAACTGTCATTGATGAGTGAAGTGTCCCTCTAAGATTAGAACGTCATCAGCTCAGGACAGAGTCCAAGTGGAGAAGAGTGATATTATTCACACAGACCTTATGGACACATTGTACATTGACTGTAAAATAGGTTATAGAGATCACATGCACAGATCACCATACAATCACACTGTAGACAGACACTGATGATATCATTGAAACTTGATGAGGAAGACAGGCATGAGGAATGGATGTCCAAAACCAGTGGAGGCTGCTGAGGGGAGGACGGCTCATAATAATGGCCAGAACAGAGCATATGGAATGGCATCAAATACATGGAAACCATGTTTGATGTATTTGATAGCATTCCACTAATTCCGCTCCAGCCATTACCACGAGCCCATCCTCCCCAATTAAGGTGCCACCAAACTCCTGTGTCCAAAACACAACATGAGGAGAAGATGAAAGACAGTGTAAGGTGTCCATATTAGGACAACCTCAATCACAGCAGGACTTGAGTGTCATAATATGGACACCGTGACTTTTAAACACAAAGGGAAAAGGAGTTGACAACAACGAGCGAAGGACTGAACTCAGAGTGGGAAAAGACACAGGAAATTAGCAATAAGAAATAGAGACCTTTATATGCTGTATTGCACTAGTATTTCTTTAATAGCAACATAGTTTTGGGAGTGCTGAAACAGCCTAGAGTAGCTAGCTAAATCATTAGTGCAAAGCACAACCACTCCTAAAAAGTAAAATCCTGTCACCATACAGAAAGCTGTGTATACTTTGGTAGCCAACTTATCTACCGTACATATATTACATTTATGAAAAGCTGTTCATATACTGTAGAAAGTATAGCTCTTGTATCTTGTCAAAGTGGCTATTGCTAAGGAACCTTACTTCCTTGTATAGATACACTCCCAAAAGACAAACCTTCCCTGAGCAACACAAAATATCTTATTTTCACAGGGCACCATTCCCAAACAACTACTCTAACACTGTGGTTATAGGTATCAGCACCCATCAACATTCTGCACATGAGAAACATGATCCTGCCATGTACTGCTAATGGCCTTTTGACTTTATTTTCAAACAAGGAACAACATTTGTTAGCTGGGTACAGTTTCTTTCAAATGTGTTTTATTCAGTCTGTATAATTTGAAACAGCTAATAAATAAATCAAACCCAGACCCATAGGAAAGACAAGTGAAATAGGCACACAGTAAGGGTATTTTTTCTATGCTAATACAGTGCTGGTTGTCTAGTCCACTCAGTCGATGAAAAATGGCATCTGTCTGAGAGCAGAGTAACAAAAGCTTCTTAAATCCAACACAGAGAAATGGACGAGAGAGGAAAATACTTGAGGTGAGGTGGACGGAGGTCAAATGGATTTAAACTACTCAGGTTTTGTTATTGTAAAACTTTAGAGGGGAAAGAGGAAGAAAGCAGGAAAGTGCCTGTCAGTACAGTAGCCAGAGAACAGTCGATTATAGAGCACTATCAGAGGCATCAAGCGCTACTCTACTCGACTAGTTTTCAAAATGTTCAAGGCAAAAAACGTCCGATTTTCATAAACTCCTCCCAGCCTTACGTTTTATGTTTAATATCATGGAAATGGAAAAGAGTAATAAAATGAATTTAAAGAATTGTTATTTTAAGAGACAATTATTTTTTTTGAAGGAACGGGAAGGGACATAGCCTATACACAAATTATTCAAAGACTGCAATCAAAGAATCTGATAGCAATTATTAACACGTTTGCATTAAAATGAGTCTATCAAGATGCTCAGTCTATGAAACCATAAGAGAGGGGTGATATATTTTAGGATCATATCTGAATCATATTTATTGCTTGCAGGATCATGGATTTCTCCTAAATATTGGAGGAAACTGTAATCAGTGCAGAGATAGCCAGGGCTCAGCCTCTTAAAAAAGCACAATAATCTATCTGGGAAAGCAATGCTAACTCTATACTGTTATGGGTTTTATATTCAGAGAACTGCCGATCCATCTAGTTGGGACTTAATGCAGTGGCTGTGGATCTCACAAGCCCAGTGAGGGTATTTAAACTATGGGCAGCAGTGCTGTGCATCCACAAAATATGGCCAGACGGATCTCTTATGGTTCCCGGTGGAATCAATCACAATGATTGTGTAAATGCATAGTAAGACTAATGATCAGGATATGGGTATTGTGCTAGAATTTTCTAAGGCTTCCCTGACAACATGCATGGATTTATAAGATTTCCTTTAAATGTGTCAAATCCATTAGAGGTTTAATGTCTAATAAATGTGGAATTTCATGCTGCTTTTGTCAATGTAACACAGCAGTCAGAGTGACTAGAGCTTTCTAAGAGGAGTGGGGAATTCCTTAAGTCTAATTTACACCTTACAATTGTTCGCAACACAAGAACGCAATTAGCTATGCCAAATGGCGATCTTGCGTACATCTGTTAAGCAATACATTCCGAGGGTGCACACATCTACATATTTCTGCTACACAACTACGCGGAGTTGCCATTTTGTGTAGTTAATTGTAGGTCTTGCTTTTCATACTGAGTAGGGTATAAATTAGGCTTTACACTGATCAGTCTGTGGGTGATTCTATCTCTCTGTTACACTTGTTTAGTGGACCTTTGAGAACAGTTAGAGAACACAGTCAAAATGTTACAGTATTATGCCCCATGGTGATGGATCATGTTGCAGAAGAATGCTTAACTGCAATACCTCTGTGTGACTTTCAGAGTTTGTTACAAACCCTGAATACTGAAGTGTACTTGCTTCAACAGATAATATGTTGGTGTCCTGTAAAACCATGAGAGTATACAGTATGTTTTATGTATTTGTTGTTGTGTTGTTGTTGTTGTTGTTGTTGTTGTTGTTGTTGTTGTTGTTGTTGTTGTTGCATTTAATACCATGATGTATGGTATTTTATTCTATACTGTTGCTGCATCGTTTTTGACCAGGGCTCCCTTGTGAAAGAGATTCATATCTCAATGGAATTCACCTGGATAAATAAAGAATAAATACATTTTAAAAACAGGTCCAGGGGGATGCAGCAGAGACAACTATAGTTATAAATATTGTAGTGTATAAAACCAAACTCGAGTCTTCAATGAGAGTCTTAAAAACATATTTCTACAAAATAATATCTACAGCATAGCCACAACTGCCTCGTCTAAAGGGAGTGCATCATATGATGCAAAACCCACGATCATAGCAGTTTTTGCTCTGTATTGAAAGAGGTCTATTTGAAAACTTGACTTCTGACATGCACCATTTTTGGGAGTTGTATTAACAGTGGACCAATTAATGAAATACCCCAAAATAATTTTGGAGTATAGTATTCCTTTAACAATAATTGATAGCATTATTACAGTTAATAAGCAGAGATGATGTGGTATCCAGTGTTTTCACTTTGGTTTTCACTTTTGGAGTCAAATGCCTGGTTGGTAAATACAGTAACAAGATAGTTTAACCGCAAGTCAACACATAATTGCCTTCTCTTGGAAAAGAGTCACACTATTTATGTTATTATGACTTTGAGGCCCAATTTTCCATGGGGTTTGAAGATTGCTGTTTGTTTTATTGGGGTCAAACATCACTATAATTCCGAAGGGGTTGAGAGTTATGCTAGCTCGTACATAGTCTTCATCTGTCATTATCTTTTCTGTAAACTGCATGAAAACAAGGCCTGTAACTCAGGCAATGACATCAGTCGTTTATGGTTTGAAGTTAAGCCCCTACAGTACAGGAATATGGTGTCCATATTAGGACAGCCTCAATCTGAGGCTGTCCTAATATGGACACCTTATGGACACTCTCAATCTGAGTCTGTCCTAATATGGACACCTCACATTCAAACTTTAATGTTCAATATCTGCATCTTGTGTTAACAATTGTTGAACAATACTGTGCACCAACGGACACATTTTAAAGGATAAAAAGTTTTACATTCACATGTTAGGCAAACATGCTCACAGATCTTGTAGCCTACTTTGTTTTGTAAGTAAAAATAGTGTATACAGTGTCTGTCATTCATTCTGTCAGTGTATTTGTGATGTTATGTGTGTAGGGGAGTAGAGGAAAGTTGGTGAGAATATACTTCACAGGATAACAGAGCCAGTGAGGAGGAGGAGGAGGAGGAGGAGGAGGAGAATAAGATGGGGGAGGACATGTACTCACTCTGCATATAGAGTCCATCAGTACAGTTTTGGGACTGCAGGACCATACCCTCACAGTCCTTGCCTCCATTTTTGGGTGCAGGGGCAGTGCATTCTCTCCTGCGCCAGTGAGTGCACTCTGTACCACAAATAGACCACTTACTCCACTTAGTCCACAGTCCGTCCACTGTAAGGGGGAGAGAGAGAGATACAAGGTTCACTGGGATACAAGATCCATAAAGTTAATAAGGCTAAGAAAGTCATACTACACTAAAATAATATAACTAAATAGAATATAATATAATAAAATATAATACAGAGTTAAATGGAGTAGTATAGCATAGCATAAAACAGGACACAATATACTATTAATATTAATATTAATATGCCATTTAGCAGACGCTTTTATCCAAAGCGACTTACAGTCATGTGCGTGTACATTTTTACGTATACTGTAAGATAATATATTGGAATGGAATGAAATAGAACAGGATAAAATAGAACAGAGCAGAAATGTATGTGTCCATACCAGTGCAGAGGGAGGTGCAGGCCAGCTTCTGGATGGCCTGTCCGTCACAGGGGGCTCCTCCGTTGAGCGGGGCCGGGTTGGTACAGCTGCGGGTACGCTTCTGGTAACCACGGCCACAGCGACTGTTACACACCGACCACTCTGTCCACGTCGACCAGCCGCCATTCACTATGGAAACAGAGAACACAGTGTATTAACGTCTACACACACAGAGACAAAAAGTTAGATTTTTAAAATGTATTGTTGATGCTTGATCAGAGGGTTGGGTTATGTCAGTATAAGTATGTTTTTTTTGTATTTTTTTATCCATTCGCAGCTAAAAGCTGAACTGCAGTATGATGCTATATTAATGCTACTGTATTCTCTGATGTGTCTCTGCTTCCTCACGGCTGGGTCTGGCTGTGCCAGCAGGACTCTCCTGTTACCTCCACACGTGCATTGTCCATTACACTTCCCTCAAAGGGGGCTGTTCGGTACACGGTAGTTTCCTCCACCCGTTAAACCCAGTTTACACAAAAGCACGTGGGCTCACTCACACAAACACATGCACACATGCATGGATTCACACACACACGCATGCACACACATACACGCACGCACGCACGCAAACACAAGCACACACATGCACGCATATACCCACCAGACACAAGGAGCTGTGCTGCTCTGCAAAGTGCTTAACCCTAACCTCTTTAGAGGCTGCAGTAAAAACATATGAACTTTCCTGAGAGTACCCCAAGCACTTAACTTTGTGATTTTACATCCTCACTGGACTTTGGACCAAACTGATGATGCGCTCGGGGCCTCTTGCTTCTCTGGTTGAGTCTGTAATATCTCTTTATGCACATTTGTATTTAATTTGTGCTTCCATGCTAGTGTGTGTTGGTCTACGCCAGGGTTCCCCAACTGGCGGCCCATGGGCCGAATTTGGTCCGCTGATTATTTTATTTGGCCCCCCAAATGTTCTGACACACAAACACACAAATTGTTGGACATAGAAGCCTAAAAACATCAGCAAATCGGCTCCAAGTGATTTTCATTTTGGAAATATGTACCAAAGTATTCCCACGCATAATAGAGAGATACAGTGCCTTCAGAAAGTACTCAGACCATTTGTTTAAATTAATTTTTATATCCTCAGCATTCTACACACAAAACCCCATAATGACAAAGCAAAAACTGATTTTTATTTATTTTTTGCTAATTTATTAAATATAAAAAACAGAAATACCTTATTTACATAAGAATTCAGACCCTTTGCTATGAGACTCGAAATTGAGCTCAGGTGCATCCTGTTTCCATTGATCATCCTTGAGATGTTTCTACAACTTGATTGGTGTCCACCTGTGGTAAATTCAATTGATTGGACATGATTTGGAAAGGCACACACCTATCTATATAAGGTCCCACAGTTGACAGAGCATGTCAGAGCAAAAACCAAGCCATGAGGTCGAAGGAATTGTCAGTAGAGCTCCGAGACAGGATTGTGTCGAGGCACAGATCTGGAGAAGGGTACAAAAAAGGTTTTGCAGCATTGAAGGTCCCCAAGAATACAGTGGCCTCCATCATTCTTAAATGGAGGAAGCTTGGAACCACCAAGACTCTTCCTAGAGCTGGCAGCCCAGTCAAACTGAGCAATCAGGGGAGAAGGGCCTTGGTCAGGGAGGTGACCAAGAACCCGATGGTCACTCTGACAGAGCTCTAGAGTTCCTCTTTTGAGATGGGAGAACCATCCAGAAGGACAACCATCTCTGCAGCACTCCACCAATCAGGCCTTTATGTTAGAGTGGCCAGACGGAAGCCTTTCCTCAGTAAAAGGCACATGAAAGCCTGCTTGGAGTTTGCCAAAAGGCACCTAAAGACTAACCACACAGCCAAGACAATGCAGGAGTGGCTTCGGGACAAGTCTCTGAATGTCCTTTAGTGGCCCAGCCAGAGCCCGGACTTGAACCCGATCTAACATCTTTGGAGAGACTAGAAAATAGCTGTGCAGCAACGCTCCCCATTCAACCTGACAGAGCTTGAGAGGATCTGCAGAGAAGAATGGGAGAAACTCCCCAAATACAGGTGTGCCAAGGCTCGAGGTTGTAATCGCTGCCAAAGGTGCTTCAACAAAGTACTGAGTAAAGGTTCTGAATACTTATGTAAATGTGATATTTCCGTTTTTAATTTTTTTATAAATTAAAAAACATTTATAGAAACCTGTTTTTGCTTTGTCTTTATTGGGTATTGTGTGTAGATTGATGATGGAAAAAAACAATGTAATCAATTTTAGAATAAGGCTGCAACTGTCACACCCTGATCTGTTTCACCTGTCTTTGTGATTGTCTCCACCCCCCTCCATGTGTCGCCCATCTTCCCCAGTGTATTTATACCTGTGTTCTCTGTTTGTCTGTTGTCAGTTCGTTTTGTTTCGTCAAGCCTACCAGCATTTCCCCCTTGCTCCTGTCTTTCTGAAGTTCCTGTTTTCTAGTTTTCCCTGTTTTGACCATTCTGCCTGCCCTGACCCTGAGCCTGCCTGCCATTCTGTACCTTGTTACCCCACCCTGTATTATTGAACTCTGCCTGCCCTGATCCTTAGACTGCCTGCTGTTCAGTACCTTTTGGACTATGATCTGGATTTACGACCTCTGCACTTGACCTTGCGTTTGCCTGCCCCCTGTTTTTGTAATAAACTTGTGTTACTTCGACACTGTCTGCATCTGGGTCTTCTCCTGAAACGTGATAGTAACCTAACAAAATGTGGAAAAAGTCAAGGGGTCTGAATACTTTCCGAAGGCACTTTATATGTGATCATATACAAATGTAAGCAAGGTTTGAAATGATTGTTTTAGTCAAATATTATATCTGTTTGGGCGTCTTGCAGTCAATTTGCAGTCAAAAAATTATTTGTAATTATGTTCCAGCCCCCTGACCATCCACTTAAGAAAAAAATCAGCCCGCGGCTGAATTCAGTTGATGATCCCTGGTCTATGCTTATGTGCAAGTGTGTACAGTATTTAATATGAGGGAGGAGTTGGGGATTAATCATGTGAAGAAGCTCTCTCTTTCCCCATATTTTCAATGCCATCCCTCATTTCAATCCCTTTTTAATTTGCAGTCTCAAAGACAAAGAGAGAGAGAGAGAGAGAGCGAACACTGGAGATAGAGAACAGGATGGATTCCAATGAAGTCCTCGGAGGATGAGCATAGATCAAAGCTTCCTCCGCCACTCCACTCACGTATCTAACAGCGATAGTGACCGCTTAAACACGCGCCAGTGTTGATCCAGAGTCGTATGCCCATTACACACACACGCACACACTCTGACGCTTTCCGTCAATTTTGTCCCTACGGCACTCATTAGTTAGTAGCACACATTATCAGACTCTGCAGCAACAAACTCACATTCTCACTGCTATAATAACCTCCCCATCACCCATTGGGCCCACAATGGCAGTTCTCAGAAATGCAGAGATAACATAATCTACACCAGGGGTGTCAAACTAATTTTGCCCCGGGGGCCGTGTTCGTTCTTCAACGAGCTCTGGAGGGCCGCACTGAAAATGTGTTATATTTCCTCTGTGTCAACATTTTCTAAAGACAGTCCTCTATCCATCGTTGTTTGAATTTTTGATACTACCTGACTCTCTAGCTTTAATTTAGGTGATTATTAGCGAGCTGGACACTGTCAAGAAACAGTATAAATGTAGGTTCATTATCATTTCTACACAGTTTGATTTGGTTCTAGTCATTTAGAAGAATATTGAATTTGTCCCCACCACCCCTTCATCTAATGCGCAATTGCGTTGATTCCTGACTTTCTTTCATTTTGGCTGTGTGCTTAGGGTCGTTGTCCTGTTGTCATGTGCCTTTTACTGAGGAGTGGCTTCAGTCTGGCCACTCTACAATAAAGGGCCTGATTGGTGGAGTGCTGCAGAGATAGTTGTCCTTCTGGAAGGTTCTCCCATCTCTACAGAGGAAGTCTAGAGCTCTGTCAGAGTGACCATCGGGTTCTTGGACACCTCCCTGACCAAGGCCCTTCTCCCCCGATTGCTCAGTTTGGCCAGGCGGCCAGTTCTAGGAAGAGTCTTGATGGTTCCAGACTTCTTCCATTTAAGAATGATGGAGGCCACTGTGTTCTTGGGGAACTTCAATTCTGCAGACATTTTTTGGTACCCTTCCCCAGATCTGTGCCTCGACACAATCCTGTCTCGGAGCTGAACAATTCCTTCAACCCCATGGCTTGGTTTTTGCTCTGACATGCACTGTCAACTGTGGGACCTTATATAGACAGGTGTGTGACTTTCCAAATCATGTCCAACCAATTGAATTTACCACAGGTGGACTCCAATCAAGTTGTAGAAACATCTCAAGGATGATCAATGGGAACAGGATGCACCTGCGCTCAATTTTGAGTATCATAGCAAAGGGTCTTTACTTATGTAAATAAGGTATTTCTGTTTTTTATTTATAATACATTAGCAAAAATGTCTAAAAACCTGTTTTCACTTAGTCTTTATGGGGTATTGTGTGTAGATTTCTGAGGGATAAAACAAAAAAAAATATTTTAGAATAAGGCTGTAATTTAACAAAATGTGGAAAAAGTCAAGTGGTCTGAATACTTTCCGAAGGTACTGTATGTATGTTAGCATCTCCTTCAGCCACTCCTGAAGCAGGTTGGCAGGTATCTAGTCTTTGTCTGGGAAGGAATATCATATGTCCAGGTAGGCCCAGCCCAACCCATCACATAGACCCCTGTGTACAGTAGGAGAGAGAGGAGGGAGAACAGGAAGGGAGGGTGTGTGTGTGTTTGCATATGTGTGTGCATGTGTGTGTGCTATACTCTTGCTACTGGCGGAGCCGTCACAGTCCACTTGGCAGCAGCGGCCACTTCTCCCTTCTCCCAATTAGAGAGGGAACATGGAGGAAAGTGCCACTGTAGACTGTATTCCCCTGGAGATAATCCTCTGTAATGTCCCTGAATCTTTCAGGGGAGATTTGACAGGCACGACTGGGCATTTGACAGGGCTCAAGTGGATTGGTATAAGCTAAGGTGAAGAGGAGACTGTAAAACTTAGAGCAACATAGCTTCAGACCCCTGGGAGAGTGGGAGGTGAGAGGGATTGTGGGTTCTGGGGGTTAGTGATCGGACTGAGAGAGATTGCAGAGGAAGGCACTGCAAGTGTC